AATTATTTTATTCACCAAAGACCCCAGCATCTTGGATATTGCATGCATTCAAAATTGTTACTGAAATTACATTTTCAGTGTCTTCCAAGTTTGTAGCACTTGTTATTTTCATTCAAACTATAATCAAAGAATATATATTCTTTTAAGCTTTAAAAACAGATTTGTCATGGTATCCCTAGGTAAATATTCAAATTGGGAGAAAAATAGGGGCTACGATCATCAAATTTCAATTACAAGTTCATCTTTTTTTTTTTTTTTTTTTTTTTTGGTATGTGCCCCTAGCGGGAACCAAACCTGGGACTCTCTGGTCCACAGGCCAATGCTCCAACTGCTGACCCAAATGGCCAGGAAATACAAGTTCATCTTAAAGATCATAAAAGTAGCTTGATGATTGTTTTTCTGTTCTTGCTATGCTTAAAATCACCAATCACTTACCAAACTACAGATCCCAAGTTCCATTCAGGGTTTCCTTGGTGGAGCTAGGCAATCTATATTTTAAATAAAATACATTAAAAAATACAAGTGATTTCGATTCATTCAGTCCCTAAAATAGCATTCAGAAATCAATAATTCAAGGAATCTTAGGTAATTTTGATGTATAGCCAAGGTCTGACATCACATTTCCAAAGATGATTGGAAATAACTTAATAATCAAAATTTATTATTTTAAACATTCCTTTATTAGGCATATAACTAAAATCCTACAAAGCCAGAATTTAAAACCACGGTTGCTTTTCATTAATTCCATCATTTTTCTTCTTTATTTTGCTACTTCTGAAAATGTTGTGCTGTTTAAGGGTAGCATAGTTACTATCACACAAATGTTACTGCCGTATCAGAAAGTATTTCCAAGAAGATTTTAATGAAAATTTAAAACGTGGAATTATTCCAAAGTGTATATACTTGTTGCTTGTCAATTATACCCTAATTGGTCTCATGATTAATGTGTAGGTTTCAAGAAAAAAAGAAAACAAGAAATCTCACAGCAGAAGTACTCTCGTAGTTTGAAATATCTGGGATTAAGCCAACTAAACCATTTCAACATGGTCAATAAAAGAATAAACTCCTTTTAAAATCTTTGTATGATGACTATGTACGATGCAATGAGTACGCTAGAATTAAAAAACAAAACAAGCCCTAAATACATTTGGCTAATGTAAGTAGTCTGCTAGTTCTGGACTCTCTTACGTTATTGATCTATTTTCATCCCCAGAGTCCAGAGCATACTTTCCTGTTTCTTTCATGGCTTGATTACTGAAAATCTCAAAATGTACCTAACTTTCCTTAACACCTGGTTACCAATTACAATGCAAACAGGTTATTATGGAGTAGGGTGGGTCGAAGCATTGGACCACACATCTTAACCTAGAAAGAAGGTAATGCCTAATGACTCATTTAATAAAATGTCTGGCTTTTTATAAAATGTATTTATTTAGTTTGTTCATGTCTGTGTCCACAGTTTCTATAAATTGAGAAAGGTGCATCACCGGGAAAAAGCAATCTCCTTTGATTCTGAGAAAGCCTGTTTGAAGCTTCTTTTTACCTCGAAGGTTAGATGGTGAGGCTCTGACCCAGGAACGAAATGCTAAACCAGGGGCAGAGCTCCTTCTGTGCCTCTTCCCAACCCTGCCCTTGCCGTTCTTATTTTCCCCAACGTATTTGTGCCTAGCACCCCAAAACCAAGCATTTGTGCAAAGATAATGACTTGTTAGCTTAAAGTGAATTAGAAAATCCTTATCAGGCCTGCCAAGCCCTGCACTGCTGTTTCCCTCTGAGATCTCTCTAACTCATCTCTTCTTACTTTGCTCCTTTACTGCTGCCACTACTGTGCCTCTAACTTCCATGCTTTTCGTGAAACACAGCAAGTGCATCCCTGTCTCAGGGCATTTGCACCTGCTCTTCCTGTGTCTCCAAGGAACTCAGCACAGATCTCTGCTTGGCTCCCTCCCTCACTACATGCAGCTCTCTGCTCAGATGCATCGACCCAGAGAGGCTTCCCTGACCACTCTGCAAAGTAGGCTGCTGTGCCCACCAGTGCTTTCTGTCCACACGGCCTTTACTTTTCCACCGTAATGTTTATCTCCCGACCAAATACATGTGTTTGTCACTTGTCTCTGCCCACTGGAATTGAGTTTCCATGAAAGTAGAATAATTCTCTCTATATAAATGTAGTGGCCAGAACAGTTAACCCTGAACCCCCTTATTTCCCCCTCCCCTAAATACATATCCATTTCACTTCTCTCTCTCTATCACTGTCTCTCTCTCTCTCTCTCTCTCTCTCTCTCTCTCACACACACACACACACACACACACACACACACCCTGTCCTGTCAAAGGGATTGCTATCATACACCTTACAGTTGGATGTGTTTATAGTACGGTTCTTCCTGGACTTGGTGGTGGTTTGAGAGTTGATGAGTCACTCTGCAGGGATTGATTCTGTGTCTCATCATCATGCTGGTGTCAGTCGGCTAACATCCGGGACTTGGACAATGCAGGTTCCAAAGTACCCCAGAAAGCTTCCCAAGAGCAGTCTTTCCAGAGGTGGATGAACATCTCTTGTGATTTATACATTCTTCCAGACGTCACTGTGATCCCTTGGCGCATCAGCTGCAGACATCACTGTCCCAGGTTGCAGACAGGTTCTGTGTGTTAGGTATTAGGATGAAAACCTGAAATGGTTTATATGACAAGACAGAGCATAGATGTTACCAGAGAGCCACTTAGCAAATCCTGACTTTGCTACTTACTTAGTAGTGTTATCCCAGGCAAGGTACCTGACATTCTAACCCTTGTTTTCTTCTTCTGTGAAATGGGGATCATTAGGCCTATCTGATGAAATTGTTGTAAGGACTAACTTAAATAATAGTATATGTAATATATACTATTATATATATATATGTATATGTGTGTGCGTGTGTGTGTGTATGCATATAGTTGGTATATATAATATTGTTGGCACTAGCCAAACACTCTGAATGGCAGATATTTAAAAAAAATTTCTTTCAAACCCAGGGAGGGCACTCAGACCAGTGCAAGAGGCACAGTACCATTTAAATACTATGTACTGATTGACAAGTCTATCTTATACTTTTTGGGGACCCTTCTGCAATCATCTGACATGATAAATGGGGCAGGGAAAAGAATATTTTACAATGTGGAAAACTTTTGTACTCATGAATTCAAGCTAATTTTGTCCTAAAATTTACCTGTGTGTATAGTTAAAAAAAAAGAAAAGAAAAAACCCACCTACACTAGAGAGAGAATGACACTGTTGTACTCAGTATAATCTTTCTGTGTCAAGATAACACTTTATTTATTTATCCTCACCCGAGGACACTTTTCGATATTTTGTTCAGATAGAGTGGGAGGGAAAGAGAGAGAGAAACATCGATGTGAAAGGGACACATCGAGTGGCTGCCACCCACACGACCCAACCAGGGCCGGGGACAAACTGCAACCCTAGCGGGTACCGAACCCGGGTCTTTCCAGACCGCAGGCCAACACTCTAACCGCTGAACCACACCGGCCAGGGCTCAAGATAAGACTGTAGATATTAGGAAAAGGTAGGTTTGAATCATGGCTAAGATAAATAATCACAGTAGTTCTACTGAAAGAACAGGCAGGGGAAGTGAACATATTTTGAAGTGTCCAGATACCTACTTTTTAATTTTACATGCCAACAAGCAGGGTCATTGAAACCTAAGGAATACTTTGTAGAATTATAGGCTTATGTGGGAATATTTACATGCACACTTATATACCCACAAACACATATCACCCTTCTGTCTGTAGCAAATATATTTCCCCAACTATATTTACTTGGAATATTATAAAATATGTTTTCTTTCCTCGAGTCTGCATGAGTCATGGACAGAGCATGTCGGGGCAGGGAGAAGGTGGCAGATGAAAAATGTTCTAAAAATCTATTGTGCACATGCCTTGCTTGCTTATGGAGTCAACAGATTTGACTTAATGAATCTTGTTTCAAATAACTACCAGACCATTTCTGTTCTATAGAAATGCAATCTGCACACTGTCTTTGCCATAGTTTGGAAAATGTTTTGTCAGTATTAAAGAAGTCAAGTTCCACTTAGTCCCACAGTGTAGTAAGTAAAAAAAAAGTGTATATAATTTGATAATTAGATCCCAGGTCAATCACTGGTTAAGTGACTTTTGGGATTTTCTCATTTCCTTTATTTATAACATGGAAGTAAAGATAGCTACCAAAAAAAACTTTGTTATTATAGAATGTGACTGTTTATATACGAACCTGTACAACACGTTTCTATTACATGCATTGTGTGTATGTATAAAGTACTACATAGTAAGCTTAAAAACATATTTCTACTTAATTAAAAATGTAGCTACTGTCCGGCTGGTGTGGCTCAGTGGTTGAGCATTGACTCATGCACCAAGAGGTCTCTAGTTCGATTCCTGGTCAGGGCACATGCCCAGGCTGTGGGCCTGATCACCAGTGGGGGGCATGCAGGAGGCGGCCGATCCATGTTCTCTCTTATCGATGTTTCTAACTCTCCCTCTCCCTTCCCCTCTCTCTAAAACCAATAAAGAAAAAACAATTTTAATAAAAAAAAAAATATAGCTACTTTGTAGAATACACTTTATTTATTTATTTTTTTTATCCTCACCCAAGGACATTTTTCCATATTTTGTTCAGATAGAGTGGGAGGGAGAGAGGGAGAAACATCGACGTGAAAGCGACACATCGAGTGGCTGCCACCCACACGACCCAACCAGGGCTGGGGACAAACTGCAACCAAGGTACGTGCCCTTAGCGGGAACCAAACCCGGGTCTCTCCGGACCGCAGGCCAACGCTCTAACCGCTGAGCCAAACTGGCCTGGGCTAGAATACACTTTAGATGTTTCTTTAACTAGGTAAATAACAGGCTTTTCTAAAGAAAACAATAATAGTAACTATTGTAAATAACAGCCTTTTCTAAAGAAAACAATAATAGTAACTATTGTTCTCTTATTACAGGCTTATGAGAAAATTGCTTACCTTCTCACTAATTTAGGTAAGTCTATTGTTTTTACCTCAGTCCTTAGTAAGAGAATACTTTCTATGGGCCTATCAATCTCTAGTTGCTTTATATACTTTAGTATTTTTTATATCAATTTCAGTTATATAATTGTCGATAAAAATGAATGAAGTGGCATGACATGTTGGCCTACATCGCATAACTATAGAGAGTCAATGTATGTAGTTACAAAATCTCCTTACCAAAGCCAGCAGACCTTGTTCTTCCTACACTGGAGTGCTTTTTTCCCTACCTTCTCAGTTTTTTGTTCTCCCTCAACCCCAAAATTATTTTTCAAAGTATTTTACTGCATGTACACAATTCAAAAGGCAAAGGAGTATTAAGAGATTTATCATGAAAACCTGTCCTTTGCCACATTACCCATTCTTATTTCCTATGTCCCCAAGACACTACGCGTTATCAGTTTCCTTTGTATTTCCTACCCTGTTTCTAAATGACATGCTTCTACGGCCGTTCTTGGATTTCTGAGCTTCAGGAAGCTATTGTTTCCCATGACAAAGACAGCTCGGGTCATAATGTTCCCTGCCTTGTCCTGTCTTCACACACTTCCCGATCCAGCACCAGGATACACAACCGTTACTTCTGCTCCTCCCACGGGAGGGATAGCAGCATTTTTAGCCAAATTAGTAATTAATGTTCACCTCATGGTGTCTATGTAACCATTTTCCTATGAAAGGCCTGGTGTGTACTGTCATCGTTTCCTCTCTTATACAACTTTTCTATTTTCATGAAGCACATTTCGCTTAATTTTCTACATTTATTCCAAACTTTCTGCCTCAACTCCAAGTTCTCTAGAAATACATTAAAAAATATCAAGTTTTCTACTCATTTTATTTTCTTCTTAGAGTTACCCTCCCTGAGCGTACTGTCCACGCCAGTGTCAGGGGTTCCCCTCCAGGCTGTGGTCAGCCGCCCCCCACCAGCGTTCACCAGCACCCTGGGGGGTCCTTTGCTTTCTCGGTTGGATATTTTGGGGTCCTTTGTTGCCATCTGTCTTGGCTTAATTCTCTGTCTTGCTCCCTGGAAAGTAAATTTCTTGAGAAATTTATATGTCAGAAAATGTATTTTTTCCCCTATATTTTTAACTTCATGTTTGGTCCCCAGTTTGGGGGACAAAATGTTCATTACAGAGCTGTTTGAGCAGATCTTTCCTTGTTTGGGAACTCACCAGATCCCCGGCCCTGCTCTAAACATTTCTCATTCGTCATTTTGTTTCACTGTAATCACAGTTCTGTGACAGTAGGATCCTTATTTTATGGATTAGAAAACAAGGTAATTAAATAAAGAGAGTGTAAATGCAGATACGGCAGACTCCACTTGAGTATGGTAGAGTACCTATATCACTCCACTGTATGTATCCCTTCTCCTGTATTGTAGTTGCGAGGACAAGTGACAATAGAAGGAACATTGTATAGAGGAGACAGATGGGCCCTAGTTCGTGCTCTGGAGCTAAATGACTGTATCACTTGGACATTATGTAACTGTGAGCAAGTCTTCTCCTCTCCCTATTTCCCGTCCTCCTCCTCCTCCTCCTTTTTCTCTGCTCGCTGCTCCTCCTCTTCTTTTTGTGTCTCAGTTTCCTCATTGGGAAAATTAGAACGATAATAGTTCCTCTTTCATCACTGTTGTAGGTTGGCTGCCTGACACATGACAAGTGCTCAATAAATGGGACCAATGTTTCATTGGTCTGAGCTAAAGTATCTTCAGCTGGGTAATGAAGCACTTGAACGAGGTTGTCCCAAAGCATTCTTCTACTCTGATTACCTATATTCATTTTCTTTTCAAGTACTTTATACCCAGGATGGCATCAAATCTAAGAAAGTGATTTGGGGTTCAGAACACTTCTCAGTGCTAAGTACTGGGAGTACCCACGTACTCCTGGGGGTAAATGTGGGCTCTCCTGAGTAGTCTCGCTGGTGCCCACCAACCAGTCACTCTGTGGATGCCCCACAGACCCTCCTATTTCTGGAACCTACACCCCTTTGGGCTTGAATTTCCCTCGGACCCATTCCCTCTTTTTTCTCTGATTGGCTCCTACCTATATTTTGGCCTAATTTTTTCTTAAATTAGATCCCATCTAATTTTCTACCTTTCTTAAATTCTTCAATTATATTACAATATTTTAGATGTACTTATATATTTTTTCTGTCATTTGTTTGGATACTGGGTAGGAGCAGAGGCTGCAGTTCATGCTGCCATCTTCATCAGATCTCTCTCGTCTCATTGTTTTTTGTTTTCTATCGTTTTGTTTTGTTTTCTATCATTTTGTTTTGTTTTCTATCGTTTCGTTTTGTTTTCAGGGTCCATATACCATACGAGAGTTGACAGCATTCTTGAAATCATCTCATCTAAATCCCTCATTTCATAGGTGATAAAACTTATTGCAGAAGATGTGAAGTGACCTGCCTGGGATTACCAGCAGTTGGGTGTAAAGCTGAGATAAGAACTCAGCTCTTCTGACAGCTGTAGCATTTTTCCTCTTCACCATTTCACTTAAGTCTGCACATGAAATATCCATCCTTCACAGGACTCTGGACAATTTAGGTCCCTGTATTGAGATATAGCCACATAGGGTGAAAGACTGATTTAATACTTATGGTTACTTCTAAATGATGATAACAGAGAGAATCCTGGACACCTTTGTATGTTAATAGCAGGCATCGTATTTCCGTAGCTGTGGGGAGAGTCTGCAGATTATCTCATTGGATCTTTTCGCCAGTCTGTACGGCAGATGTTATCACTCATGGTGCACCGGCATTTTACTGAGTGCTTCGCAGAACTAGTAAATGACTCAACCAGAACTTGAACATGGGCCGTAGCTTCTGTACCTGCATTTCTTGTCATTCACCTCATCTGTGTAAACACACCCTGTGTTCCCTTTAGAATACCCTCGGACAGAATCTGAATGGGAGAACAGTTTTGCCCTGAAGATGTTCCTCTTCCAGTTTGTCAATTTAAACAGTTCTATCTTCTATATCGCCTTCTTTTTGGGGAGGTAAGTCAGCTTTATACACATCATCTTTATAGAGTGAAAAAGATTGTCAACAGCTCCATTTCCAATTTGTTAACAAAGGTGACACTTTCTTATCCCCAGCCTTGGAAATCTGGGCTAATCCGTCTTCACATGTTTTCAATGGAAAGATTTCAGTGTAGTACTTGCCATTGCCGATTAAGGTTGGCATAAAAGAATAAACCCTATATGCCAGACATGGGTTGAATTATGACTATCCAGTCATAGGTAATAGTTTTAATAAGTAAAATAACTTTTGTATACTCCTAGGTTACAGTTCCTTAGTGTAGAAACTTCTTCTACCTATCATGTTAACATTTTTTTCCCCTATTTTGGCTGCAAAATATGGAAACAAAGCATATTAGACTATGGTTCTGATTTGCCATATGATTGACACTCCAGCCAGTGCCATGGAAAACAGACTGAAGTGAGAACCATTTTAAATTAAGTTATTTAGCACATTACGTTAATATTCTTTAACTAGGTCAACCAGACATTAAAACTGCAGGTGAAAGTGGAAAAATTCATCCAGTTGGTTTGTCTGTATTTTCTCAACCTGTTGGCATTGAATTCACACGCCAGTTTTTTCTTTGTATGTCGAGCACTTTGATGTGTCAGCTTGGCCTTAGTCAACTATTTAGGAACAAGCTGCACCAGTGGACATTTATGTCTACCCACACATGCCCCTGTGATGCCGTCGATGTTCTTCAGTCAACCCACATAAATGCTAATGAACTGAAATTGCTTTTTACAGATTTGTAGGCCACCCAGGAAATTACAATAAACTTTTTAACCGATGGAGACTGGAGGAAGTAAGTAACCTTGTGAGGGTGGGTGTGGGGATATGCATGGATATGGGCCAATTACTGTGGGAGGGCGGGAGGAGGGAGAGAGAAGGTAAGGCATGCTGCAGAGATTACATAGAGAAAGCCTAAGACTTTCTGAGAACATATGCTTTATATTATAGAAAACTGGGCTCATATCTAACCTTGCTACTTATTAATGCTTTGCCCTTAATTGAACTTCTTTGAATATCTTTCTCATCTGTATACTGGCAATAGTAATTCTTCAGTTGCAAAGCTGTTTATACATAAATAATTTGCATAACACAATTCAAACAATCCATGGCCTGCGGTAGGTGCACAATAATTTATAGTTGATATTTATCAATGCTTTGTCTTCATACCTACCCAGGTATTATTATTCTGTTGGCCAAAGATAGATAAGGCCATTCAAAAATCCCAGGTCTTCAGGAAATCTCTAAATCGAATCTGCAGGGTTTTTTTATAGCTCAAAATAATGACTAAATCTGCTAAAAGGCTTTTCATCTACCCAATCTGGGAACCAGTGCTTACTTTTTTCCATGAGTGTCCAGCTGAAGTTAGCAAGGGTAGTGTGGGGAATGGAGTGGCTACAGGCAGATCTACATATTAATGCCACCAATAATTTTGTTTAATTGGATATTCTTGTTAAATTATTGGAAATCACGATTCTTCTTTGGAAATCCCAAGGAAATAATTATAATACTGGTGTCAGGCAAAAATGTTTTATAACCATCCTAGACATTTTCCACAATATATAGGACACAGATAGACATCATGTTTTTTGACAAAGGATTATTTTTTTTAAATCAGTGAAATAAAAAATGTGAGTTTGTGATAGATCCTAAAAATCCTAGAAGTGTAGATATAAAAAGTATACATAATGGAAGATAAGAATCGACCCTCTGAATTCAACCATACAACAAGCATTTATTGATACATACTCGAATCTAGGCCTCTGCTGGGTAATACGGGGTACCGATGACCTAGCCCTTTTGCTTTCTTTGATGTTAATAGGCTTGAAGAAAAAGCATAACCATGATGTCTAACAAATATTTCATCTCTCAAGTCTGATAGTCTACATCTAGTTCTGTCCCATCAAAATGCATGACCTTAACTCTAAGTCTCAGTTTTTTTCTTTTGTAAAATCTGATATGAATGGCTATTTTAGTAGTATTGGTGATACGTGGATTAAACTGGATCATGTATGTAAAATCCCTGGCACAAATAATGGTAGCCATTATAAAGACAGAGAAAAGGTACTGTACTACAATCTGGAACATTTATGAGCACCTATACTAGACTTCCCTCATCCTGCACTATATAATACCTCACATAAGATGTTATGTAAATCTACATAACATGTTAATTGTAGCTAATTTTTAATGAGGACTTACTATATGTCAGCACATTCCAACAATCGTTTCTAAGAGTTCTACATGTATTAATGCATTTAATTCTCACAAAAATTCTATCATTACACTCATTTTATAAAGAAACAGAAGATTAGCGAAGGTATGTGATTTGCCTCCAATTACAGAAACATATTTATACACTGATGAAGTCATCCATTGGATACCAGTATGATCCAGGCAGCCTAGCTTCAGAGTCCATGCCCTGAGCACTGCCCACCGGCCACCATGAGACAGTGCACAGGCCCAGTCAGGAACATAATGGAAACCGATTTCCATGAGAAGTTGCTGGATGATTGCTGGCACACACATGCAAACTGGATTTAGAATACACATACGACAGTGGGTGAGGTGAAAGGAACATGGGTATTGGAGTCTGATGGTCCTGTCTGCTACTTAGCTTCATCGTCTACACAGTGGAGACGCCAACACCCATCTCACCAGGTCCTCATGAGGAGCAAATGAGAAAAATATTCGGAGGCAGCAGCCTTGGGTTGTCCGTGGTCATAGGACTCTGAGTGGTGCATTGGGTACAAAAGCCGGGGTCTCCTGCATGCTCATTCGTGTCCTTTTACTCATTTTAAGTATAGGCCTTTTTACCAAATGAATTTTTGAGTATGGAGGACTAGATCTAGCTCAAGGGAATCATTATATGAGGGAAGTAAACCCACAAAAACTGTGGGATCAATTCAACAAAGTTATAAATGGTCTGTCACCGACTCTTCCCACTGATACCATTGTAATAATCTGGTTATTATTTAACAGGAAAGGAGCAGAGTCGATTAGATAATGTAGGCATGCCATCTATGCAGCTTTGCTGGCAAGCTGCAAATTACTCTCCAGGTCTATTCCCCACAGATCGATGGGGGAAGCCCTGGAAAAGGCAGTGTAGACACATACCCAGTAAGGATGGGGGATGTGGGAAGATGCTTACCTGTCAATCATGCCTAGAAACAGGTAATTGGCCAGGATTGGCATGGCTACTACAAAGGAGTGAGAGCTGAATATTTAATCTCCGGAACAAAGGAAGGCTCCTTCTCTTCCTCTCCCTCTTGCTGCCCGCCCAGACTTCTGACTTGCTGGGCTCCCACAGCCTCTACCCACACACAGAGCCCACAGCCATTTGTACCCCGTGCAATGGACTAATGGACTGGATTTTGCCTGATATTCCACCAGACCCAGCTCCACCCTGGAAAGAAAACTCTGAACACTGGCCCTGCTTCTAGCTTTGCTGAATCCATAACTGCATGTCTTCTAGAAGGAGATTTAGGGACGTGGGACTTTACAACCCCAGGAATGTAACTCCACGCAAATAAAATACATTCATTCTCAAAAGCAAGTCTCAGAAAATTCATTTAGTGAAGATACCACAAGAACCTCACGCCTGTGAGCAACAGGGAAATCTGGCCCATTGATTTCTCCTGCACACCGCTTTGGCCTACTGTTGTGGAGAGTGATTCAGTCAGTGTTCTATAACAGCCTTTTTGCCTTCCCACATAGTATGTTTTGCAAAAATAGTCCCTCAAGGCAGACACATTAGTAAATAGAATTCATCTTTAGCATCATGTGTAAGAGCAGTGGGCCCTAGCAGGAGTGGCTCAATTACTCGAGCATTTTCCATGCACAGGGAGGTTGCTGGTTCAGTTCTGGTCAGGGCACATGCCCAGGTTGCAGGTTTGATCCCTGGTCAGGGTGAGTGCAGGAGGCAACCAATCAATGTTTCTCTTTCACATCTATGTTTTTTTCTCTCTCTCCCTCTCCCTTTCTCTCTCTGTAACAGTAATTAAAATATTTTTGTTTGAAAGCATTGGATTAAGGTACAATGAGACCAAGGCTTTTATTCCTACACCAACATGCAACACTGCATGACCTGGGACAACTTAATTTGCCTCTTTGAGACTGCAGAAATTAAGAGTTTCAGTTTGCAGCTATGATCTGTGCTCTGTTTCTGTAGCTTAGTTATCCTTCCTCAGACATTCTACCTATCCACTTACCGTATACATGTGGCCGAGTTCAGGGGTCCTAAATTAATCCTAGAAAGAAGGGGCGTGCTTAGATGGGAGAGTGGAGACTTCTGCACACAATGAAAATGACCACTGGCAAACCCTCTCTGGCTCAGATTGGGGAGTTTTAAATTACTGGGCTGAAACCGGAAAATCAGGCTCTTCGTGTCCTAATTATTTGTTCTCTTTGAAGTCCCACTGGTACTGATTTGATAGAAATAGAAACTGTGGATCAAAGTTGTAGAGTCTATCATCTTTATGAGCAGGACATGAGCCCATTTCCAAAGAAACAACCCCATGTTTTTCTACCCAAATGTCTTCTATAGTGCAGTTTTCAAGCAAAACACATTGGTTACATTTTTTTATTGTAATCACATTTTTGTTTGTGTGGGTTTCTGATGCTAACTTTTTTTTAAGAGGCAGAATTTTTTTTTTAAATTTTAGTGAATTTATTTGGGTGACATTGGTTAATTAAAATATATCAGTTTCAAGTGTGCAATTCTATAATAAATCATCTGTATATTATATGGTGTATTCACCACCCAAAGTCAAGTCTCCTTCCATCACCATTTATGCCCCCTTTACCCTCTTCCACCCCCCCTTTCCTTCTGGTAATCACCATACTGTTGTCTGTGTCTGTGAGGTTTTGTTTTGGTTCAGTTTGGTTTGGTTTTTGGTTTTTTGCTTAATCCCTCACCTCCCCCAGCCCTCCAACATCCTTCCCCTCTGACAGCTGCCAGTCTGTTCTCTGTATCTATGAGTAAGTTTCTGTTTTGTTATGGTCCTATCATTCTGAATGCGCCCACTCTCATCTAATGCTAAATTTTATTGAACATCTAAAAACACAAAAGATCAGAGAGAAGGCAAAATTTGTATCATACTGACAAACTATTTCATGGCACGCTTTTATCACTTAAAATACATTATGATATATTTAGATACTCCCCCTCAGGAGATAGAACTTAACATCAGCCCCCCTCTTGTAAAGGGGCTAGATTTAGTGACTTACTTCTAAAGAAAGAATAAGGAGCCCTGGCCGGTTTGGCTCAGTGGTTAGAGCGTCGGCCTGCGGTCCAGAGAGACTTGAGTTCGGTTCCCGCTAAGGGCACGTACCTCGGTTACAGTTTGTCCCCTGCCCTGGTTGGGTTGTGTAGGTGGCAATCACTCAATGTGTCCCTTGTCACGTCGATGTTTCTCTCTCTCTCTCTCTCCCCCTCCCTCTCTCTCCCTCCCACTCTATATGAACAAAAAATGGAAAAATGTCCTCAGGTGAGGATAAAAAAGTAAATAAAATAAAATAAAGAAAGAATAAGGAAAAGAAAACGTGAGTAACTTTACAGTAGTGAAAAACTACATCAACCAAGTGATGACGGTTGATGTCATATGGATATCATGTAGCTGCTGATGGATGGGATGAAATGACTCTTCTCTCTGTGATCTGCCTCCATCCCCAAAACACATAACCCCAGTCTAAATGTGTGGAAATCTAAGAAAAACCCAGACTGGGGGTGGGGTGGGGTTCTACAGGATACTTGCCCAGCAGTTCTTAACATGTTCAAGGATATGAAAAACTAAGAAATTGTCTAGATCAGAGGAGACTGGGGAGACATGACAAATAAATGTACTGGGTACCCTGGGGGGAGAGGACATACATGGAAAAAGTGAAATCTAAATAAAGTCTAGAGTTTAGTTAAGAGCAATGCACTAATGTTGGTATCTTAGTTTCGACAAATCCACCTTGATAATGTCAGGGCTAATGGAGGAAATTGGGTGCGGGGTATACGGGGGCCCTCTGTATAATCGTCACAAATTTTATACACATTTAAATTTTTCAGACATAAAATGCTATTTTAAAATAATATGTTACAAACATTTTGCCATAGAATGAACTATTTGTCTATCTCCTGACTGTTACTAGATGTGTAGTATTCCAGAACGTTCATTACGGGTGATAGGACCTAACACAGAGCTTGGCAGGTAGTAAATGCTCATTAAAAGTTAGATATGGTATTAGCGCTGCTAGAATTTGCAGTAAAATTCCCATATAAATCCTGAAAACTCCCCTGTCAAGTGTCCTCATCCATGGTATTTCTTTATTGTTTTTATTTTCAATACACACTGAGAGAGTGGGGCCGGCTTTAGAATTGGCTTTGCAGGGGGGGTTGACCTGGCCGGGAAGAGAGAGTCACCACTGCTCTGTTCTGCTTCAGTGTCACCCCAGCGGCTGTCTGATAGACCTCTGCCTCCAGATGGGAGTGATCATGTTTCTGAAGCAAATATGGAACAACTTCATGGAGCTGGGATACCCGTGAGCACTTTATTTTTTAAATTGCTTCATATATACTTACAAATGCAGAGGTAGTTAGAATAGTTCTTAAGAATTTGGGCTTGGCAGAGAGGTGAGGGTTCCGTTCTTGCTGTGCTCCTCGCTAAATGTGACCGTGTGTATGTTAGTAAAAATGTTTCCCAAGCCTCCAGTTTTACCTTTCTACAAGGGGGTCAACAGCGGTATTACCTCAAGAACAGTTGTAAGGACTAAAGGAAATGATAGATGGAAAGTAACTTGTACTTGTTCAGCACATTAAGACACTAGTTTTTCCTAAAACATTATTGATAGCACAGGTTCTTGAGGAGAAAAATAACTTCCTGATTTATTTTGGCTATCAAAAGACCAGGACCACTGTTGTGTAATAAAGACTCCATTTCCACACACACCCTCCCCGAAAAAGAATAAAACAAAGATAAAGTACAGATGAAGGAGGTTTGTACTCTGTTATGCACACATAAAAAAATCATTAGAATAAGATTGATTGTGATAACATCAAATCAATACCACTCTTTTGTCCCTTTAGATAAGTTTTAACTGTTGGTGAAATGCTGACACAGAAGGACACCGAATCTCTACTTTTCTATTTATTAAACAGATTTTCTGCAGAATACAGTAAAATACAGTATGTTTTAAACAATTTGGTACAGAAACTTTGGAACCTAATGAAGGTTAAAAACATAACTATTCTGATGAATGTCCTGACTATGGGGGAAGAACTGGTTAGTTGACACACGATATAAATAGTTTAGGATTAGTCATTAAGTTATACCTTGATTCTTTCTCCCTGCGGGCCAACAAATGTATCAGGGCATTTCCCAGAAGAGACCTTAGGGCTGGAGAGGTGACATTAACCCTGAAATCTGCCATAAAGTATTGTATTAAGTTCCAAGGAGTCTTAGAGCATGGATATGAAATTACCAAGACCTTGTTCAAATTTCTTCTCTGCCCCTTGTTAAAGAAGCTTATGACCTCGCAGAGATGTTATTATTTTTACTTGTATAAAGGGGATTTGTGAAGATTAACTGAGATGACTGAATGATCATTAACCTTCAATAAATGGCAGAACCCTGTTGTAAGGAGATTTTTATACAGATCCTCAGTATTTATAACCGAGTAAAATGAATCTCTTCTGAATGAAGAGAGAATAGGGAATGGAGGATTGGGGCGCCTAGCGTATTCTTCATATCCCTGCCTTCCTTGGCCCGTCTCTTTGAAACGTAGGGTTTGGGGAATATCATTTAAACATACCTGAGAAGTTTGTTATTAAGAGCCTTGCTCCGGATCTGACATGCTATCAGTACTTCCTAAGCACCATCAAGAGGGTATAGTGGTTATAGCATTTAGAATGATTCTATTGTAATCATTATCCTGGACGTCTGTCCATGCCATGCACGTTGGGCAGCACATTGTCACCATGGCCTTGTCCAAGATCAACCTGGATTATTCACATCAAATACCAAGGGTACCATGGCAAGGGACACCCAGTTGGTATTGTCCAACAGATGGGCAAAGGCATTGTTCAAGAAAATCTCGCAGGGTTGGGCCAGTCATTAAGCAATGATTTTTAAATGTTTGAACCACAGTTCTCATCTATGAATAAAATCTTAAGCAAGCAGCACTGAAATAAATAAAAAGAAACAAGCAGACCTGCCTCAGCTCCAACCTCCATTCCCGTTTTTATCTTCCTGGGGCCCGAGGCAGCCTCCGTTGGGCACACGTTCCTGACGTTTTGGTCCATGTTTCTTCCAACTCCCACTAAAGTTCTGGGTCCACTATTAATGGAAATTGAGAGTTGTGTAATGTTCACTGAGTCCCGTGACAGTTACATCATCCTAGAGATAATTTTCATATTACAGAATAATTCATTACCCAAAGTCCACTATATATATTCTGAGTCAAATAATGTTAAGGCTGCCCCTGGGCTTAGGGAAGAGTGTTGTTACTTTCTCCCCAAATCTGAGAAATCAACTCAGACACACATCCATTCCCGGTAAATTATTGTCCACTATGGTAACAGAATGTAACCACTGATGCTCAAACCCTTCTCTTCATAAACTCAGAGAGGTGAATGACTTGCTAAAATTCACACTCCTAATGCATTGCAGGGTGGGGACTGGAACTTACATGTCTTGAAACCCTACCTAGGTCTCACTTTTGTAATATGGAACCTGCTTTTACTCATGTTCAGCAGCACAGTCCAGAAGAGTTGGGGTTATGAGAAATGAAGGGCTCAGATGCGATCACAACAGGCAATGGAGGAGTTTCAGTATTTACATAGATAGGGTATGGGAAGCAATCACAGAAACAGGTGTTTGTCTAATCAATATCAGGAAGCATCTAACTGGGGGAGGGGGGATTAAGTCCTAGATAAACATGTAGGTGTTTATAGGGCCTCAGAGAATTCAGTAAGGCTGAGGTCTGTTCTCCCATGCTAAACTTGAAAGATGAGACCATGCAAATATCTTCAGTTCCCAGGAATGCATAGTGTAGTCCCAGGGTAGTTGGTGTTCATACACTATAAATTGGTCACTAAATACTTCAGTAAGCGCTCAAAAGCCCTTTGTCTGCTCCGTGGTGCAGGTTGATCCAGAACTGGTGGTCACGACATAAAATCAAGCGGGGAATACAAGATGCGTCTATACCGCAGTGGGAAAATGATTGGAATCTGCAGCCCATGAATATTCACGGACTGATGGATGAATACTTAGAAATGGGTAAGGAGAGAACCTTCTGCAGAGCTACTTGGCCTTCTGATGCTATTTTTCTATTTCACACAGGCTTTTATTAAAGGAGAAAGCCCTCTCTTTCTAACCTAGGTGTTCTAAAATACATCTGCACCTTTATCTCAACAGAACCAGAGAAGATATTAAAGCAATGCCTTTGGAAGTCTATCACATTTTGTCATAATGTTTGTCAGCCATAATATTTAACCAAAATTAGAATTCATAGTAAGTCACCTAGCTTTTGAGCAAATGTGTGTGTGTGTGTGTGTGTGTGTGTGTGTGTGCAGGGCCAGGTATCAAACTGAAACCAAGGCACATACCCTTGACTGGAATTGAGCCCATGGCTCTTTGGTCCACAGGCCTATGCTCTAACCACTAAGCAAAACTGGCCAGGGCTGAGCAGATATTTTAAAGGAACAAAATAAAGCAGAACCCATTGCTATGTTAAGAAATCTACTCTTCCACCCAAATAAAGTAATAATTTTTTCTCACAATAAACCTCTGCACAGACCTGGCCTGAATCTTGGCTTCTTTGAGAAACACACTTACTTCTATTAAGAAAATAAAGATTCCTGCTCCAACCATTACTGTGTGTTACCTGGGCATTTGCTTTTTCTCTGGACTTCAGTTTTCTCTTCTAAAAAGAGTGGACAAGATTAGGTGCCTTGGGTCCCTTCTAGAGTTAAGCGTTTTTCTTTTTTTTTTTTTTATCCTCACCCGAGGACATTTTTCCATTTTTTGTTCAGCTAGAGCGGGAGGGAGAGAGAGGAAGAGAGAGAGAGAAACATCGATGTGAAGGGACACATCGAGTGGCTGCCACCTGCACGACCAACCAGGGCCGGGGACCAACCAGGGCCGGGGACAAACCGCAACCGAGGTGCGTGCCCTTAGCGGGAACCGAACCCGGGTCTCTCTGGACCGCAGGCCGACGCTCTAACCGCTGAGCCAAACTGGCCAGGGCGAGTTAAGCGTTTTTCAAGGCTTCCTCTGATGTCTTCTTTTATCTTCACTCCTCCTTCATGCTGTGTGGTGTAAAGGTGAAGAGAACATAGACTTTTCGTCTTTTGAGATCTGAGTTTCAATGCAGGTTTTAACGTTTTTTAGCTATCTACCCTTTAGCCAGTTTACTGAACACATCTGCGTTTTCTCAGATGTAAAGTGGGATAAACATATTTACCATGTAAGGATGTTGAAAAGTTTAAGAGCAATTTATGTAAATTATTTAACATTGAATAAATGATCCTGTTTATATTACTCATTTCCTAATGTTCTCCCCGTTCAGTTTTGCAGTTTGGGTTCACCACCATATTTGTAGCAGCTTTTCCTCTGGCCCCTCTTTTGGCTTTGTTAAACAATATCATTGAGATCAGGCTGGATGCATACAAATTTGTCACCCAGTGGCGGAGACCTCTGCCAGCTCGAGCAACTGACATAGGTAAGATTTGGGAATTAAGTCGTTTTGGCATCGCTAAGGCCAAGAGGTAGCTAGATCTTATTTAACACCATGGGGGTTTCTGTTCCAGCCCTAGCAAAACTGAATGGTCTTTATGAAAGAAAGAAAAATAGAAAGAGAAAGGAGGGAGGGAGAAAGGACGGGGGAGAGGGAGGAGGAAGGAAGGAAAACTAACTTAGTTGAGGGTAGGTTCATACTGAACATTCTATTTCATAAACTTTGCAACTACAAGGAATCTCATATGCATCTTTCCATGTTAATAAATATAGCTGTGCCTCATTCTTATGATTGGTGCATAGATTTTCACTATATGTTGTGTGACATTTCAAAAAAAAATCAGTCCTGTTTGGAGATGTTCAGATTGCTTCATTTTTTGCCATCATAAACAACAATGAGGTGGACATCTTCATGCGCACTTTGTCTGATTATTTCCTCAAGGTACATTGCTAAAATAGAACTCCTGTGTCGAAGAACATGCACATTCAAAGTGTTGGCTAATTTGTTAACATGTTCTCTAGAAATATTGTGCCAATTTATACTCCCACCACAAGTGAATAAATACCCATTTCTCCATTTCCTCATTTCCTTCACAACTCCAGATGTAATCAGGTTTTTTTGTTGTTTCCTTCTCAACAATCTGAGGAGGAAAAAATGATTACCTGTTAGATTTATCTGCATTTTTGTAACTATGAGATTAAATACATTTGTATCTTTTCTTTGTGAATTATGTTTACAACCTTTGACCATTATATATGATTTGGCAATCTTTCTCTCATATTAAATATATTAACCTTTGACATACATGTTATAAACACTTTCCAATGCTCGTTATTAGTTTTTTACTCTATCATGAATAAGATTTCAAAGTATATATATAATAAAATTGATATATATCCCTTATAGTTGTTATTCTTAAGGTCCTTTAGAACTCAAGATATTTTACCCATTGTTTTCATCGTTGTTTTGTATTTTAGCTGTATGTGTTATTTGCCTTTTGTTTGTTGGAATTTTATGATTTTATTTAAAGTGTTGATCTATCTAGACTTTGCTGTTAATAAAAGAGTTAAAATAGAGATCCAGCTTCTTTTTGTAATGGATAGCCAATGTTCCCAAAACTATTTAATAAATCATCTCTTTTAAACTTGTTTAATTTATCTCTATTTTCTCATACCAAATTTTATATAAACTTAGGTATATTACTAGAATCCCCATTTGTTTCCTTGATCTGACTCCTTATTTTTGGCATAATGTTTTTATAAACTGTAGTTTTATAATAGAAATTCTAATGGAAAAGCAAATCTATTCTTTTTTTTTTTGAGAATTTGTGGCTAAGGTTACTTTTTCAGTTGATATTATTCATTTACATATTCAACAACTACCAAAGTCTCTTTAAAATATACTAATCTTTAGAGATTTAATGCCATTCAATTTGGTTTCCCATTTATTGAAACAACTAAAATTTATTATTTTAAGTTACTATTATTTAATTAGGATATACTTATGATTTTATTATTAAAATAATGTAAGCACATTAAAGAAAATCTAAAAGACAATTTAAAGAAGAAAAAATAAAACTCCAGTTTTAGCTTTAGTGTTTATTGCACTTTCTAATGCATAAATTGCCATTTTCTAAATTTTGCTAGATTGTCTTCCTCAAACCAGACAACACAAACATATAAAAACAATGAATAATAATTCTCTCTCCTTTCTACCTTTCCCGTCTACTTCATGGAAGTAATGAAATCAATTAGACATGTATCCTTTGTCAATGTTTTTCTTGTTCATACAAGTATTCAAAAATATATTTATGAACATATATAGGGTGCTACTTTTTTTTCTTTGTGACCATACTCCAGCTCAAAACATGTTAGTGTAATTCATTTAGAGTAGTAGTATACATAAAATGAATGACATAAATTTTATAGTCATTTATTTAATTTCCCAACTATAAACAAAAATAAATATATATAAATGTTGTTATAGATAAATGTAGTTATAAATATATAGACATCAATATTATATGTATTATATATCACATACCCATGTAACTATATATATGTACAATGTATCTGTAAGTATAGATTCCAAAAAAACAGTATGACTAAATTAAAATATATTTATAATTTAATGTTAAAAGGTATCAGATAATTACCACAAACATTGTAACAAGTCATACTTCAAATAACTACATAAAATAGTTTCTGTTTCCTCAGTTCCTAAATAGCACTGGATGATATAAGACTCAAATCTTCAACAATCTGGTGGATTTTTTTAAAACCTTATCTTTTGAAGGACATTTCTCTGAATACTAGTGATTGGAACTTCTTTTTTAAAAAATATTTTTTCTTTATTGACTTTAGAGAGAGAGGAAAGGAGAGGGAGAGAGAGATAGAAACATCGATGAGAGAGAACATCGATTGGCTGCCTCCTGCATGTCTCCACACTGGGCATCTGGCCCACAACCTGGGTATGCACCTTTACTGGGAATCCAACTGGTGATCTCTTGGTGCATGGGTTGACGCTCAGCCACTGAGCCACACAGGCCAGGCTGGAACTTTTTAATATATATATGAGTTATTTGCATTTTATATCAAATTGCTCATTTTGATTCTTTGCTCATTTTTCTCTTTTTTGTGGTTTTTTTTTTTTTTGCCTTATTAAAATTTTAGGATACTTTTGTATGTTAATAACAAATAATAATCATTTGTCCATTTTTTAAATCAAATATTTTCTCCCTGGCTATTGTTTTCTTTTGACCGAATAACATTACTTTTGTAAAAATAAACATTACATTAAAAAATTATTAATTTTAGAGAGAGATGAAGGAAGGAGAGAGATAGAAACATCGAGAGAGAAACATCTATTGGCTGCCTACTGCACGCCCTCTACTGGGGATGGAGCCCACAACCTGGGCAAGTGTCCTGAATGGGAGTGAAACCAGCCACCTCTTGGCGCGTGGGATGATGCTCAACCAATTGAGCCACACCAGCCAGGACATTCTGATTTCTTGGTCTTATGATCTTCCTGACAAGGGAAATGTTAACATCTTTTTTATTTTTACTTTTTTCTTTACAATGCAATGTAGATACATTATAAATATTTTGAAAAACAATGAAGTGGGGAGCGTATGCCAGGAGAAAGCTCCATGCTATCCAATCACCTTTAGCACTTTGAGCATTTATATCAATTTTAAAACTAAGTTTAATCCTATTTGAAACATAGTTTTGACTATAATCAATGACATATTGATACTATATGCAATTTCAAAAGCTGGGTTTGTGTGTCTCTACAATGCCAGGTTGTCCTCTTTAGAAGTAGTCAACTGGTGATATGCAGGTCTTGATGCCAAACTAGGTTTACTTTCTTGCATTTTTACTTTAAAAAGGTACTTGACAAAGATAAAGGGAAAATCCATAGGGAACACATATATTTTAGACTTTACACAATGATGTAGAACTTGAAGATTTTTGTTTGTTATTTTTATTACCTCATTAAGTTCTAATTAGTCTTTGAAGCAACTGTACTATGTCTAATTATTATAGACATGATCCAATTCCTAACAATTAGTTCAATTTTCAAATCTTTCAAGATAGATGTTGATCTTCCTTCTGTGGAAAAGCATTCAGTAGCTGTTTTATCTGTAGTAAAATACTATACACAAAAATTAAATAATAGAGCTCTGGTTCCATCATAAATGAAATATTCTTTTCAAGATAAGATTGATGAGAGGGATTATTTTTATTTTATTTTATTCACTATCTTTAATCTTTCTCCCACTAGGTATCTGGTATGGAATTCTTGAAGGAATTGGTATATTGGCTGTGATCACCAATGCGTTCGTAATTGCTATTACATCTGATTACATCCCGCGTTTTGTCTACGAATACAAATATGGCCCCTGTGCAAGTCATTTTGAATATGGTGAAAAGTAAGGTTGAAATTTATACTTTCTTCTGATATAGTTTATGTTTGCAATTAAATTGGAACTTATTGGGAGGTTTTGTTCTGTGACCATTAAGCACAATATTTTTTAACTTAAAATTTATTTATTGTATGAAATCAAGCAGGATAAAAAGAACAACTGTTTTGCAGCTAATAATTTTTCAGTCTCCTTATTTTTGTCTTGTAAATGTATCTCTGACATCAGTGTATCTTTTTTTTTTTTTTTTTAATCCTCACCCAAGGCATTTTTCCATGTTTTGTTCAGATAGAGTGGGGGGGGGGGGCGGCATTGATGTGAAAGGGACACATCGAGTGGCTGCCACCCACATGACCAACCAGGGCCGGGGACAAACCAACCTAGGTATGCACCCTCAGCGGGAACCAGACCTGCGTCTCTCTGGACCTCAGGCCGACACTCTAACCGCTGAGCCAAACTGGCCAGGGCTCAACGTATCTTTTTAATGTTATAATGTATTTAGAGATCTAATTTAGAACTGGAAGAGATATCAGAAATCATTCAGTGCAATGTTTTGACTTTGTAGATGGGGAAATTGAGGCCCACACTAGTTAATGAAATTGAAGAAGGAAATAAAGCTAATTGGTGGGGACATACAGAATCTGAACAAAATGTCAGCTATACACCATAGATTTTTCTAAAGGAATTTACAGTGAGCTGTGCCGTGCCTTATAGGGTGATTAGCAGCAGCCTTGGCCCTAACCCAGTAGATACCAATAGCAACCTCCCTACTCCCCATGTTGTGACAACCAAAAATGTCTCCAGACTTTGCCAGATGCCCCCTGGGGGACAAAATCACCCAATTTAGAGCCAGGTGCTTCCAGGGCCATCGCTTGTTCAGATCTTTCCTCCTTGGATGCAGATATCAGGGAAGAATTCAGGAGAGACTGGACTTAGGGAACAGAGAGAAATTGGAGTTTTAGCAGGAGATTAGCCTTAGGTGTAGAAGTCTTGATAGGAGACAAGGTAGTAATAGGAGAAACTCTTTCTCCTTCTTCCTTCCAGTGTGGTTTGGGGAATGTCTCTTATCTAGATGCAGGACATGTGCCCCAACAGGCTGAACCCTGGTTTAGGGTGAAATCAATCCTTAGATCTGCTGATGAACTGATGTTTTCTCAGAATCCTGAAATGTCTTTCTGAGCATAAACATTTCAATTTTTCAAAGAGAGGTAATAAAGGCATGGGATTTTATTTTATATTTCAGAGTCGTTTCAAGGGATTTTAACCTGAATTTAAATTCCCTAGTTTCAAGTTCTAACTTCACCTTTTACTCAAAGGTATATCATTAACCTGGACCTATGATTATTAAATGATGTCTGAAGTAACATTTTATGTACTGTGAAACACTATATGAATATAAAGTGGCTTTAGTATTTATAGTGAAACTCCCCCATTTTTTTTTTAATTCAAAATGCTGCAGAAGCAGATTTTAAGGGTTTAAAATATGTAAACCTGTTTAACAGCTCACTTCCTTAGAAGCATTATTTGCTGGTGTCTTTACTGCCACCTAGAGGCAAAAGAGAATAAGATTGCTTGGGTTCTTACAGGAGCTGCCTTTCAGGTAGATAGCACCTGATCCTTTCTCCATATGAACTGTGACTGGAGATGTAGAATAATTTTAAGAGATGTGAGGAGCTTATATGAATTTATGAATCTCTAAATCACATAATGTTTCTCTTTTCTCCCAGTTGTTTAAAGGGATATGTCAACAATAGCCTATCCTTCTTTGATCTGAGTGAGCTTGGATTGGGAAAATCTGGTTATTGCAGGTACTGACTTATAAATCATAGTTATTCTTTTCTTCTTGCTTTCACCATTTCATCTCTTCCCTCTACATGTTGATGAGCTCATTTAAACTGTCATTTTGGAGTTTTGATAAATCAAGAACATTTGGACTCCCCACACTTTGATCTCTATTCTTCAAACTGTTTTTGTGCTTGTGGATTTTAGATACCGAGACTACAGAGGGCCCCCTTGGAGTTCCAAACCCTACGAGTTCACCTTACAATACTGGCATATTCTTGCTGCTCGACTGGCCTTCATTATTGTGTTCGAGGTGAGTCACAAACTGATAAAATAACTGTAGGTAAATGCTTCTCCAACTGATATATTATTTGCCTTTTTGAAGTAGGACTTGAATATGTCCCAGGAAAAGGTTCATATACAATAAAACCACTATAACAAGTGCAACACAGCATGAGTTGAATAATGTAAGAAGGGAGGTTAGTGGGTGTTTGTACCAGAAAACTAGGATAAAATAAGCTACTCACAGTTGAACTGAAAACTTTTTCAGCCTCCTAGCAGCCAATTACATTATCTGATAAAATAGTTCATATCTATTCATCAGGTGATGGACAAACTTATTTTCTGAACAATCAACTCTACTTACAGTCGATCATATGCATTTGTATAAGGGACATTGCATAATTCATTAAGTTCTGCCTGAGAACACTTTTTTTTATTTAAGTGTGTATATTTTGATTATCAGAGCCATGCAATAATATTTAAGTGTAGTCCCATGAAGAAATTTTGGAGAAGCTACAGAATTATTGCATTTTTTAGTATAAAACCAGCAAGTAGCTTGATCTAGTAAAGAGCTTAGCACTGGAATATATTATCTATTCTCTAAGGTACCATTAAGGGCTACGGACAAGCTTTAAATGCATTGGTTTCCTTTGGCCAAAATTACGCAGAGAAAAGGATAGCAAGGAAAGAAACTCCTGACGTGCTTTTCTATGGGAAAGTATGATCTGCTTGCTGTGATCCAGCGTGTAAGGCAGTTCCTTGGGACACAGGTAGCAAGCTCAGTTAAAAGCATCTTGAATTCTTCCTTCCAACATAGAGAGACTATGTCATAAAATCCTTTAGGTAAATGGTTTATTTTCTATAGATCATGATAACTCTATCAGTATCAGATTTTTTTTTTCTTTTCTGAGAAACTGAAAGATCTATGCTTCTTCATAGGAAAAGAAGAAGGATGCAGTCATAGTAATAGGAGGTAATATTTTAGTGGTGCTTATACTCATTTAGTTCTCATACCAGTGGTCAAGAGATACTGTGATCAGCACCATTTTAGAGGTGACGCACAGAGACCTAGGTGGTCTGCATCAGGTAACAGCTGCGTCAGAGTAGGGTTCAGACATAGGCAGTCTCACTCAGCATCTGTACCGTCAACCACAGGCATAGTACCTTCTGATTTTTGTTTCTGATTTTTGTATATAATACTTTTGTCGGTCTATTTTTAAACATATTTTTATCATAGAATAATTGTGTAATGGACATACAAATTTTAAAACAGTTGTAATGATGTAGAATTTAGTAGAGTAGAAGTTCTGAAAAATGCACGTGCTGGAGGTTGAGTCTAATCCCGATATCACAGGCAAGCTGTGTTCTGTCTGATCTGTGGGCTGTGTATTCCCATCCGTCGGAAGGGTTTTTACTGGATGTGATCTTTCCCGTCTGTGTACGACATCTGTGTCATAATACTATTGCATAGTGTATAAGGACACTATGGATAAGAATTTAAGACTGTGTTTAAACGGTGATATCAACATGTGGCAATGAAAAGAGGAAACAATTCTCTTTTTCCTTCTAATACCGATGTGATATAAGGCAGTAGTATTCCCAATATAATTTTTGAAAATATTAACATTCTAGATGACACACACTGAGTTCTGATGCTTGATTATAAGATAAATACAATACTGTTCATGACTGTGGTTTTATAATTGGCATTTTAGAATCTTTGAAACATGTACTTTTCCTTCTTAAATTTGTAGCACCTTGTTTTTGGGATCAAGTCATTCATCGCGTACCTGATTCCAGATGTACCAAAGAATCTTTATGACCGAATACGACGGGAGAAGTACTTAGTCCAAGAAATGATGTATGAGGCTGAGCTAGAGCATTTGCAACAACAGCGGAGAAAAAGTGGTCATCCTGTTCACCATGAATGGCCTTAGCCGATACCTGTTGCCCAGTAGGGGCAACAGCATTAGGGAGAATGATAGCAATTCACAGTTTGGTGGCATCTAGGAGAAAAGCATTCCTGGCAAACCATATGTATAATATGCATCACAGCCATCTCTTGGATTCAGAATATCCAAGCTTCTAGGGAAAAGGAAAAGATGACTCATGACGTTAAAAAAATAGTAAGGTTGACACTGCAGGAAGCCAGGGTCTAATTCTCAGAAGAAGCCTCAGGGAGTTGTGTGTGTGTGGAGACCTCCACCTTCCATCAACGGAAGCATAACAGGAAGGGTGATGGTGAGGTTTCTAGAGGTAGATCTAGATGTTCACAAGCCAGGTATGACTTAAAGGATTGTGTTCTTTACTCACACACTAATCTGACTTTGGAACCTTAGGTTGACTTGGGATATTCCTAAGAAATGACTGAAATCAGTTATTGCCTTTGCTGCCCGAAATCCATGTCCCTTCAGCTTACAGGTTCATAAGAATTTCCCTTGTCTTTTGCTGAGATTATGGATCTGTGCCACTGGGGATCTATGCTGCTCTACATTGACTATGCAGTTAAGGAGTTGCACGGCAACTTTAGTTGTCAAACCAAAAATCTGAGATTCTGAAAAGAATTTGACCATTCATTGAAATAACACTCTATTCAAATTTGTTGTATCACTGGCAGAACCAGTTGCACTGGATTTTTTTTGTTTGTTTGTTTGTTAATCCTCACCAAGGATATTTTTTCACTGATTTTTAGATAGAGTGGAAGGGAGGGAGGGAGAGAGAGAGAAACATCAATGTAAGAGAGGTACATCGATTGGTTGCCTCCTGCACAACCCCAACCAGGACCAAGGATTAAACCTGTAACCCAGGTACATGCCCTTGACCAGGAATCAAACCTGTGACCCTTTGGGCCTCAGGCCGATGCTCCAACTGCTGAGCCAAACTGGCCAGAGTGTGGAAATTTTTTTTTTTTTAACTAAATGCCAATCGAGCCACATACTTATAAAATATGGGTGTTTATTCTCATATCATTTAGAACACTACTAACCCATATTTTACCATAGAAGATTGTTTTATAGTATATTTAATTTTTCCCTTGCTAGTTTATTACATCAACTCTCACAGAATAATTTAAAATGCTGTAAATATTTTGGTTTTCCCTTACCTTTGCACCTTGACCATATGTAATGCAAGTTACAGTTTATGCAGTTCTAAGACCAATTACACCGTACACCGTTGTGACTTGTTTATTCAGGAAAACAGAAGCCAGATGCTTCGCAACTCTATGCTTTTCCAACAATGTGCACTATTGCTCATGAGCTAATGAAAACAATGCATGAATGTAAATTTGTTATTTGTAAAAATAGCACACACAGTTTTGAGTTTTACTTTCTTTTTGTTACTGATGGGAGTTTTCTGTTACTATTTCTTCGATAGGTTGATTTGGTTTATTATTGAAAACTCTCTAGGAACAAAAGCAAATTAATTGTGAAAGAATTTTGGAGTTGCTATGTCATGTCAACCCTGTGTCTGTGAGTGTGACTTCACAGATGGATGAGGTGGGAAGGAGGGGACATGGAGCCACAGAACCTCTGGTGAAGGCATACGCTGTGGGGACAGGATGAGAAGAAAGAGAAGAGTTGAGTCAAGGAAATGTAAGGTAGAATTCAAAACACTTTTCCTTGCAAACAGTCAAAGCTAACCTCAGTTTTCCACCCCTGGGAATGAGTTGAAGAATAACACATACTCATTGATACATAGAAATGATTGTTATGATTATTATTTGTCCAATTAATTTTTGTCCAATAAAACGAAGCATAGATATTTCCAAAATGTATACAAACCAAATTAAACATAATGGAAACAAAGCTACCTTGTATATGTGCTAGGTTTTCACTAGTAAGAAAGTTATAAAGCTTCTCTTACTACAAAACGAGTTTTATAATTCTAATACTGAAAACATTTTTTGACTTTTCCTTCTTTCCTTCCAGGGAAAAGCTGATAGATGATAGTCATTGATTGGCTGGTTGGTTTTAACAAAAATATTCATTTCCATGCTTGTCTTCTGAAGGACCCCGGATTCTAAACGCCCCATCAAGCTCTTGCCACAGGGGACTCCTCCGTTCAGATTCCCCACATGTCCCGTTTCGGCTGTGTGGCTATCACAGCACTAGCTCCAGTACACAGAGGAGTTTTAAACTCCTTCATTTATATATCATCTGTATTTCCTCTTCTTTCTGAGTTAAATAGATACACAAGCCTGTTGAAGGCATAAATGTCATTCGGGTCCATAACCTGACGTTTATGTCTTTTTCAGATTAGGGACACATACAAAGACATTTGTCTTGTGGTAGAGCAAAGACAGACAGCCGTGCCCTTGAGAATTCTTCTCTTTCAGAGTCATTTTTATATAACCACCATAAAGGTCTTAAATCATGTTGATTGCCTACAAAGGAAAATATGGAAGTAAAAGGTATATTTAATGAAAGATTTATAGTACATTGATTTAGCAAATGCCTTCTCTGATCTTTTCAAAAACGAGGGAAAATTAGAGAAACAATGAAAAAAGTACCTGAAATTTTCCTCCTATGAAACAATGCAGTTCGAATCTCGCTATGCCTTCACCACGGTTAGCAAAATGGAGAGCCCTGCCCAGTACATTAGTTTTAGCTCACTCTGCTTTAGTTGAGAGAAATGTTTTATACCATGGTTTTCATATGAATACAGATTATTTCTCAAAGATTTCTATAGCACACACTCTTCTCAGGAATTCCGTGTCACGTGAATGCTGCTTATATATTTTCGTATTCGAAAGTGTTGTCTTTTCAAGCAAATTATTACATATGTGCATGTGGTCAGGTTGTTCAGAGCTCAGTACGGTGTGTGGGAAACTGCTCGAGACTGCAGCACAGTTGTCTGCCATCGGCTCGGTCTGTGCATGTACTTTCAGACAACACGCTGCGGGGTGACTGCATGAGGCACACCTACCAAGTGCTGCACTTCTTCCAAAACGACGCCTAGCACAATCTGTTGCGAAGTGGAATGAAAAGGAACCTTTTTCACTCAATAAATTATCGTGTGATATTTTTTCCTATAATGTGCATGTTAAATTTAATCCTGTTGATTTTTTAGTATTAAGTTGGGGTTTGTTGAGTGTGTATGGGGAGAGGAGGTCGCTCATCCCTTAGCTCTGCACTGCAGTAGCTTTCTGTTCTTCTAAGCCTTTTATTCCACTTTTAAAAACCTCTGACTGTTTGTCTTCCAGTAAATTCATTGTCGTCATCAAGACATTTGCACATGAAAGTGCAGTGGAGTATCATATGGATCCTAAGAATGCTTTGTGTTAGGAACAGATGAGAGAGGGATCTTGCTTAAAAAGATATTTTTTAAAAAATACATTTGTACTGGTTTTTAAGGGAGAGAGAGATAGAAACGTTGATGTGAGAGAGAAATAACGATTGGCTGCCTCCTGCAGTTGGAGGTTGGAGCCAGAAAGCCAGGCATGTGTCCTGACCAGGACGTGAACCGGGACCTCTCAGTCCATGGGAAGATGCTCAATCCACTGAACCACACCGGCCGGGCATTGCTTAGTTCTTATGAGGCTTATAATGCTTCCTTTTCACACTTGTGTTGGTTATACAAATGATCTTCGAAATCTCTTTAGGACAGGCATTTTAGCACAGAGATAGTTCATGCGGAGGAAGGAGGGCATAAGGCACCACAGCCAACTGTCAACAGCAGGCTAACAGATTGAGCATTTCTTTCTTTACTCGATCAAAACTGAAAATCCAGGTTGCCTGAACTGATGAGCTACTTAATTGATGTGGTCAAATTGATTAGTCTGTCAATTTGGGGCAGATAGACATAGGTCCAAGATGTGGTGTGGTGTGTGTATGTGCGTGTGTGTATGTGTGTGTGCACACTCACACATTGCTAGGCATATCTTTTGGTGTGTAAAGCCAGTGAACACTTATTCTCTGCAGGATATGTCCATTTCAGGTCTACTGTAATCACCAGGTATTTCCACTTCATTTCCTCCCAAATCAGAGCATTGTAACAGGCTTTGGAAATAGCTGTCAGTTGTATCCAGGAAATTTGTCAACATCTTCTCTTATTTTTTATATTCTCAGTAGCTCAGAAAAGAATCTCTGGAATGGCCTGAGAAATCCAGATTCTGATGGAAGGGTGAGCATTTCCTTACAGTCATTTCTATTCAAAATGAAAAGTACCAACAATATATAGTCCAAAGGAATGTTGATTGGGCTTTTCACTTGAATGGTTGACCATCCTAGGTTCCTGCTGGCTAGGACTTATGTGTTTGTAATGGTGATAAGTTACCACCTATTGAACTTGCCATCTGAGTTCCTCTGGAAAACCACCCCCATGACCACATCTGATGGTTTTCTTTCTAGAGAACACAAGTATTAAAGCCTGGGCATCCTAGCCACATCTACACTAAGGCAGCGTTTTCAGGGGAGTAAAATGAAATGGGCAAGTGGGTAGAGAAGAGACTCCTGTTCGGGACCAGGTCCAATTTGTTGTACCATCAAAATCTACTCTCAGGAAAAATAAGCGTATACATCCAGTCCTGCTGCTTTGAGACTGTACCAGCCAGTGTGTGCCCCCGTACAGGTCCGCCTCAGACAGCCTCTTGTTGCAGGTACAGCTGGCCCAGAGGGGGCGTCTTGAGTACTAGATAGTCAGCTATGTGGATGCTGCTGTACACCCTCCCAAGGAAGAAAGGTGGTGAGACTTTCAGCATACACTTATATTGACATCTTAAGAATATTTATTTCCATCACCATTCTCATTCTCTCTGTGGGAAAGGCTGTGTCTCTGCTCTTTGTTTTCCAAAAAGCAAAATTTTCCTAAATTACAATAGTTGAAAAATAAAACTTAATGAGATCTATTTAAATAATCTACACGGAAACAATTGGCATGTGGATGGCTAGCCCCATGTGGTATTCAAGCTGCCTCGGTAATTATTTTGTCAATGTTCATGCCACTCACTAACAATTAGTATGAGCAGATTTTTTCCCACTGATTTTAACACAGAGTACTCTTGATTTGTTTTTTTTAAAAGATTTGTTTTTCCTAAGGGAGAAGATAGGATTTGAATCGTCAGAAAAATCTGATGGCAGAGATAACTGTAGAAGCAGTGTTTTGGGGATGGTGGAGGGGACATAGGACTTTCCTACCAGAGAAAAAGTATTGACTTGTAGATTCTATTTTGGTATCTCCTGTGCACACACCCTGTCTTCTTTCTGACTGCAAAACAACTGTGACTTTCATCTTTTAACATTCAAAAGGAATAGATTTTTCTTCATTCTTCATTCATTATCTATGTTAAGATTTACGAGGCTAAATATAGTAAGTTTAGATTTTAGTGAAAACTCCAGCTAAAGAATAAATGCCTCAAGTTTTAATGTTAAAGATGAAAATGCACTTAAAAATATAAGCAATGTTTTGTTTTTTTTTTCTAGGGTGTGTGGCTGTTGCCCCCTATATTGTACTTTTCAATAGAAGAGAGAGAGTAGAGTCCTGTATTTGAAGAAGGGATATGGGGAAGGCCAGAGGAGACGGTGGATTTCTCGATTATTCTCAATAGGAGAAACTATATTGCAACCATATATTTAGCAGGATGGTTATAAATATTGAATATTTCTTTCTATAAATAGATAAAAATATA